TATCTTTCTTTCTACATCTCGGTAGGTATGTTTGAGATGATCCAATTTTATGTTGAATAACCTTAATTGAGAGGAAATAAAGGCTCAATAGTAGCACGCAATATTATAGAGATGGTTTTACATCTGTTTTGCATAATGTTCTTTTGGTCCTTTCTTCCCCATCAATGAAGTGGTTTTTTTTTTTTTTTTTTTTTTCTTCAAAAAAAATAAATTCTAGAGAAGGAACAGCAGGTATGGAGAAAAATAATAACAAACGCTATATGCTATACTGTTTCTCGGCTCAACTAGTAAGGATCATTTTCTAAGGTGAAAGGGCCTTAGGAAACTTTTAAAAATGTTAGCAGTGGTACAGCTTTAAGGGTAACAAAGTTGTTCAGTAATCATCGTCTTTAAATTGGGTAAATTATTAGAGCATTAATTTTCTGGGTTCATTTCAGAAGGGACCACCCTTGAAGGAGGTCGGGGGGAAATGTACTGTCTACTTAGAAAGGCAACTTTCATCATTTGGTTGTATTTCCCCATTGGTTAACCTTTTAAAGGAAGGGAAAGATTATAAATTAAAACACTCTGCACTAGCAGACCTTAAGGTGAGTCATTCTATTTTGTTTTGTATTTAGATGAGAAATTGTGGTTCATGTTTACACTTTTTTGTTTTTTTTTTTTTTTTAGTGCGTATTGCTCATTATCTTAAGGGAGAGACCAAGAATGTACAATGATTATTAGTGAGGCTGGTGATGAGATTACTGAAACACGTGGAGTTGGCTTCTCGTGTGATGTATAATTATAGGGGTCTATTTACAGTCTTATTTATTTATTTGTTTTGCTTTTTAATTATTCACATTTTAATTTTTGTTCTCACCCCACGAAGGGTCTGATTTCTCCATCTTGAGCATGCGTTATTATTTAGAGTGCTACTTTATTCCCTGGAATGCTAGAATTAAAGAAAAATTTTCAAAACTAAATAAATAAAGAGCCAACCTCAGTAGAGTAATGTCAGAGATCTGGATAAAGCATACCGCAAAAGGAAAGCACGGAGCCATAATTCAACTAACACGTTTCCCACTTGTATGGCAATCCTGGGGCATATTATGTTGTAAAACATCTTATTCCCCTTCTAACTTCTTAAATTGTTCCAGATGCTCTTTAGCCATAAAGAAATGTAATGATAATTTTTTTTAAAGCTGCATCATCTGTTTCCATATCTGACTTCCCTGCGATGTGCCAGTTAGTTTAGGAAGTTCGAATCAGAAACAAGTTTATATATATGGTTCATTTGCACATAAATAGGGAAAGACCAGAGTTGAACAGCACAGTAGTAGAGACTTACTAACCAATTTCACTTTAACAGAGAATCATCTAAGTGCTCTGTGACATAATTTCCTCATCCTCAAAATCATGATAATACTGCCTACCTGATGGATTTTTGTAAAGATTAAATTAGCTCATGCATATAATGTTAGAATCCAGTAATTGGCACATAAGTATTTAGTAAAAGTAAACCATTATTTCCCAAAATCTGTTAATCATCCCTTTTATGGATATAAGACAGCTAGGGGTGATCCATAGAGAAATTTTTTAATGTTTAATGTGTATCAATTATGATGACCATGGCTATGAATAGTAGATATTATTTGGGAACAGTAATTTTCTCAACCAATAAAAAGTTTAAAATAAAAATTACTTTAAAACAGGGAGTGGCAAACGATAGCCTACAAGTCAATTCTGGCCCATTGCCTGTTTCTGTATGGTCTGCCAATCAAGAATAGTTTTTACACGAGTATTGTCAGTTTGGTGATAGTGAGCACTAAAAAGAAAATAATCCCTTTTTAAATAAACCTTTATTACAAAAATTATACTCTCATTAAATTTTGAATTTCATCAATAAAAAATTGGTCAAAATTTGTTTTCCCTGTTGTTATATAAATACCAACATAATACCCTTGATTTTGCCTCTTGGGCTGTAAAGCCTAAAATATTTACTATCTGGCCCTTTTCTTTCTTTCATACAGTAATAAGTCCACAGGCAGAGCAACTCTCTACAGTCGTTTAAGGGAATAAGTCTGTGATTCATCAACATCAAGATTCTTTCCACGTGTCCACTCTGCCATCCTTAATGTACTAGCATCACCTGCAAACTAGCTCTTTTCCTGGTGAGATGAGCTACTGCAGCTACAGAATGCAGAAAAGTCCTCTCTGGTGTCTCCTTAAAAAGAAAACCTTCCCCAGAAATCCCTGGGCAGATCTTTCTTTACTTCTTATTGGCCAGAGCTGGATCATATGACCCCTCGTGAGCCAATCACTGGAAAGGGAAACAAGATTTTGATACCTGGCTTAGGTAATAAGTTATATTTTCTTGAGGTGGGAATGGGGTCAACTTTCCTTGAAGCACAAGATTGCATGGAGGAAGGGTGGGTAATCTAACACATTGGGGTTCTGTTAGAAAAATGGAAGGGGGAAAACGGACATTGGATAGGCAAACATAGGATGTTCATTTCTTTAAATGTGCATTAGAAACAAACCTTTAAAAAAAACTTAGCCTTAAGCAACAAAGCTATGAAAACATGGGTTCAGTGTGCTAATTTTAGTTTGTTTTCTAATACACATTTAAAGAAACGAACATGCAGTCATAGCTCTTGTTGCTTAGGTTAAGGCTAAGTTTTAAATCTACTGAAATACACGATTAAACATGAGTTACTATAATCTTAAATCGCACAGTAACTAAACTTTGAGCAGTTAGGCATGTTGGCCATTGTTTATGTTATACTCTTTGCTCAGAAACTCCTGTTTATTCTTCAAAGCCCAAATCAAATGTCCCTTCTCTGATCTCTCATTCTTTTTATGCCCAAAAAGGATTGGTTTCTTCCAGAGCTCTTTCTTTTTTTTATACCTCTTCTAACAACGGCCAGGTTGTGATATTTACATATCCACTCCTGACTGGGAACACCCTGTTTGTCATTCAGCCATTCATGAAACACTTGGTTGAGCAGCATTTATACGGCTTATGGAGAATACATCTACATCACTTCTAGCCCTGGCAACTAAGGCATGATGCATAGGAGGTACTCGTGGTATGTTTGTTGTGCAAATGAAGGAAGACTGGATCAATCAAATAATTTCTTCAGTTGCCAGTAACTATCCGTGCAAACTTAGCAAAGGGGAAAAACACATTTTGAACAACTGGCACTTTAGCAATTTCTTATTCAATTCAAAACAAAACTAATCAATCTCATAAAATCTCTGAGGATTGCAGACAAAAATGTCCCTGGAGTAGGACTGGATTAACACATGGATAATTGGAGGTAAGCCCTTTTGCCTCCAACCACAAGCTCATTACTAATTTACATCACTTTAGGAATATGAGTCAATTTCCTTCTTGTAAGAGAATCCAAGAAAAGCTAAAGACGTACTCTTCTCACTGTGTAAACATAATTTTATTTCTAATTAACTTGAATAAAATTTTAAAAATTAAAATTTGATGACTTTCCTACCTTATTTGGAACACATCAATGACACCTCCTTCTTTCAGGATAAGGGCAGAAACTGGCCTTCACAGATATAGTAATTTGCCTGGAAACTTTTCTTTTTCTTTTCTTTATTATTTTTCATTATACTTTAAGTTCTAGGGTACATGTGCACAATGTGCAGGTTTGTTACATAGGTATACATGTGCCACGGTGGTTTGCTGCACCCATCAACTCATCATTTACATTAGGTATTTCTCCTAATGCTATCCCTCCCCCGGGCCCCCACCCCCGACAGGCCCTGGTGTGTGATGTTCCCTGCCCTGTGTCCAAGTGTTCTCATTGTTCAACTCCCACCTATGAGTGAGAACATGTGGTGTTTGGTTTTCTGTCCTTGTGATTGTTTACTTAGAATGATGGTTTCCAGCTTCATCCATGCCCCTGCAAAGGACATGAACTCCTCTTTTTCATGGCTACATAGTATTCCATGGTGTATATGTGCCACATTTTCTTAATCCGGTCTATCATTGATGGACATTTGGGTTGGTTCCAAGTCTTTGCTATTGTGAATAGTGCCGTAATAAACATACGTGTGCATGTGTCTTTATAGTAGCATGATTTATAATCCTTTATATACCCAGTAATGGGATTGCTGTGAACTGAAACTTTTCTTTGCATCTTGCTTCTCACTGTCCTTCCCTACTCTCTTTTCTGCAGCCATACTGGTTGCTTGCTGTGTATCAGACATGAAGCTGCTTCTTCCTCAGGACTTTGCACATGCTTTCCCTCTGCTCCAGATACTCTCCTATTAATCCCTGAGGTCTCAGGTTCAGTGTGACTTTCCCTGGGAAGGTGTCCTAGTCTCTCAAGCTAGATGAGGCTCCCATATCATATATTCTCATGGCTGTATATTCTTTTTCTTCAAGAGAGTAACCAAACTTTTAATGAAATTGATCCTTTGTGTAAGCATGTGTTTGATTTCTGCTTTCCTGATAAGAAAGTAAGTTCTGTGAGGTTAGGGAACTATGCATTGTTAACTGCTGAATCTGCAGTGCTTAGGACAGGGCCTGGCACATAGTAGGTCTTCAATAAAGATTGGCTGAATAAACCAATAAATGAGCCTGTCCAAGAGCAGTAAGGTCGCAGCCTGGACCCATTAATATTCCCCCAGGACAACACAGAATCCCAAAGCCATTTTCTCTTGACAACAACAACTCATTTCTGCATTCACTCAGCAAATATTTATTGAGCACCTGCTGTGTGCCAGGATCTTACAGTCAGTAGGGGTAGAGCCATAAACTAAATGACCAAGTTTCTGGTCTCCTGGAGCTTACATTGTGGTGGGGAGATGGAAATGAACATATAGGTAAATAAATACAGAACAATATAGCCTCCACACACTACGGAGGAAGCACCAGGATTTTATTTGAAAATTATTTTGTGTGTGTGTGATGGTAGTATCCTTTTCCAAAAAGTGATTTTCTTTGTTACGAAAATAACAGCCAACATAAATTTACCAAGTATCTGGGCTTAGCTCACCTCAGAATGACTCTTCGCGTCAGCCAATCAGGGGGACTCTGTTTACACGAAGATCTCTTTCCTGAGTGGAAAACAGACAACAAATAATATATTTCAGGGTTAATTTAACTTTCCAAATTACAAATTCATCTGAAGCACCATCCACTGCCAGGCAATAACTCACTGTGCTGCCAGATTTTAACTACTGTAGTGACGGGTTGGTGTTAAACTCCGTACACACACTTCTTAAAAGATGGCTACCCTGGGGTTTATATCAAGCCTACATAATCATATACTGAAGGTCGGCTTATTTATTTCCATGTTTCTGAAGTACTATTAATCATTTTTCTAAGACGGTCAATGTGTTACATAATTAATAAAACACAAGAGCTTAGGAAAAAAGCCCACAGAGAGAGATTTGGGCATACATTGAGAAATAGTGTCACTTTTTGGTACCAACGGAAATCCCAGCTTTCCGAAGATCAGGTCTTAACTGTAGGAATATGAAACCATATTGTGTTTTTCCTTTCAGCTTTCTCCTTCCTTGCCATGTTTGGCGAACCTAGATGCTGGTCAATGCTAATGTTTTACAGAGAAAGAAAGTGTGTGGAGGGAGGGGTGAGAAGCAGTAAATAAAATCATTAATTCATTTTCTCACCTTTTTGCCTCTGGTGATTGCCGTCCCTATGGGTGATAGCTTGTCTGTGGTTTTGACCCAATTCTTAACACCTTTCTTATGATACTCTGCCAATTAATCTAATGGTTCATTAATTGCAAACATCTGAAATCATTACACTGTTATTGGGCACAGAAGCATCAAACCTTGAGAAGCTGTAACTGCTTAACCAGCAAATGGGCTCATTGCAAAGGAATGTCGATGTTTATAGTAGATGTAACCCAAACTCGGGTGTTCATTGACACATTGTTCCATTTGTATACAACCACCCTGGCATCTATCTGTTCAAGAGAGCATGATTTATCCAGTGCTATATCCTGCAACTGACAGGCCAAAGATTAGCGCTTAACCCAGATGAAAGTGGAGGCTGTGTGTATTCCTAAAACAAATATTTAGTGTCTGCCAAGCTCTGCTTAATATTAATTCATGATAGAGAGCAGTTAATTTAAGCTTAGTTCATGCCAAAATCTATTTGGGTTTTGTAAATCATTTTTCAGGATTACAGTGTAGAAAATCAGACAAAAAAGAGATTTCCCTAAAATTACAAAACTGCAGATCCGGTCAGGGCTTTCAGAAAATATCTAGTCCAAAGTTCTAAATGAGCAGCCCACCAATTTGAAGTCTTCCAGGAGACAGGAGTTTCTCGAATAGCACAGTTTTTTAAATAATTGTTTTTAATTGTTTTCAACATCCGAATTTCTGACTTTTCTTACAAATCTAGCAACACTGGGTCCAGGGTCCAGCAAGGCAAGAGCCAGGTGAAACTGAGGAGAGGATGTCCCTATAGAAAGAAAGAATATATACTCTCCATTTGGCCATAGCCCCCACCTCTCCCTAGTATTTACTTGTGTCCACTTAGACCTGCCCACTGCTCATCTGACAGATGGGGAAACTGATGTCTGGAAAGGAAGAAGGGCTATTGAAGGACACGTGTTCCACTAGAGTCAGAGCTGGGATAAGAACCCAATTCTTCTGACTCTACCATATTTATTTATTTATTTAGCATCACTCAATTTCACATTGATATGCACATGGTTTTAGTAGGAAAAATTTTAATCCAGTGTTTAGGGAGTTTCAAAGGGCATAGGGCATGCCTGGGTCATTAGTATTATGATTGATCACTCTTCATTATAGTATGTGCACGTTATTGCTTCTTTAAGAACTAAGTAAGAGTGGTTTTACAAAACTTCAAAAATGCATTAAGGCCTTCCCATCTATATGCACCTCTAAGCTGCTTTTGTTTATTGACACCCTTACCTAACCCCTGTAACCATAAGTACAGCTACCACTTACTGGACACCTCCTATGTTCCAAGCTTGCCTAAACACTTTTCTCCTAAGTACCCAAAGCAGTCCTCAAAGATCAGTTTATTGTTCTCATGTTATAGATGAAGAATTTAAGGCTCAGGAGGACTAGGCTAGCCCAGAGTTACGCAGCCAGTTAATGACAGCTTGAATTTGAACCTGGATATGTTGGCTTCAAGTCCTTCGTCCTGCTACCGTACACCACGCTGGCTGGCTCCTGCCGAGTTAAGCTTTTGCCCTATTGACATACTTTAAAATGTTGTTTGTACATCATACATGGCTCGGTGTAAGGAGGCAAAGAAATACGGGAGAGACATGCAGTTGAGAACGGGTTAAATTTTCTGATAGCATCAGTTTTAAAAATGAATTCTTTGCACTTTTAAAATGTGTGTGGAAGCATATTTCTCAGTGTGCAACAAAAACATTTAGGCTCCTCTGTCATTTTGGTGAATTTTGTTTGCATGCTGTCTTCATGGAAAACTGATGTTAATTTTTGGTTAAGTTTAATCGTATGAAGCATAAAGCAATTTGATAGAATAAGTAACCTTTCATTAAAGTTCAATACAGTACTTAAGGAAAATGGGACTGTGTGCATTAATTGATAGTTGACAGCTATTATTTCCATGAAAACCTTTTATAGTAAAATTTCTATTTGATAGATTGGAATTTATAAAATTTGCATTTCACTAAGCTGGATTCAACTGGAAGTACTGGGGATGTTTTTCTTCTTCAAACAATATTCCATCTTTACAGTTTTATTAAACATTTATTAATGGATGGAATCTTAATTTAAAGAGTATGGCACAGATTTCATTTAATAACTCAGGCTTAGTAGTGCATGAACATAAGTGTTTGCCCTGTATTTGACTTTGATAAAACATGACTATTTATGAATATATTTATCCATGGAGACTTAATTAGTACAGTTGGGTTTGGGGCAAATTGCTTAATAAAAGAATTTTATTTCATTTTATCTGTTTTTATTTTTAACTCACAATAAATCACATAAATATCACTGGGAATTTTTCTTCCAGTTGGCAGGTTAGAAGAAAGTGATATTATTTCAGATTTGTCATATTTGACTGACATTACAAAAACGTGAAATGGAATTCAAATTCTAATTCTATTCAGATTCTGCTTCATCCTACCCCTTTACAAATACTTCTTTTTGAAATGCTTGAGTGACCACTAAGATTTCGTCTGGCATCTATATCCAAGATTTTAACAAATGAGCTGATGTTAACATGAAAGCTATTTTCTCCGATCAATTCTAATCAAAATATTAGCAAGGTTCTCCACGGTTTTTTTAATAAAACACTCATGTAGAAGTTGTTCTTGCCATTTAAGAGATGGAAAGTTTAGAGCCAAGAATGGCCCTAAACTAATTTAAGAATGTATCAAGGTCTGAATCCAGGGACTGAGGTCTTTTTCCAAATGTAGCCACCAGATTAAAAGGTGGCTCCTCTACCTGGAAAGCTTCCTCTTCTTCCAGGTAGACCTGGCTCCATCACACTTTTTAGGATTCAGGTGATATCCTCAGACACAACACCCCAAGTCCTCCTCTCTATCTAAATGATGTCTCCTGTCACCCCTGCATCTTTTCATTCTTGCAGAGGATTATCACAGGTTATGGTTGTCTAGCTATCTGAGTACTTTTTGATCACATCTCTCTCCAATTAGACTTTCCATCTCCATGAGGACAAGGATCTTATCTAATTTGCTCACTCTGCTGCACAGTTAGTGCGTGGCATAAAGTATGAACAGGTTTTCAGTACGTTGTTGAATGAATGAGTGAATGGAGACTAAAACTCAGAGCTCAAAATGAATTTCTGCCACCACAAGTAAATCTGCTGGGAGACCAAAGGCTCCTAGTTTGTATGAAAAGGCACAGTTTATTCCTGTCTTCCAAAAATTGAAAGAGAGAAATTTTAGCCAGGTAGTTATATGGTCCGCTTTATGATGATACAAATAAAAAACTTGGTGTCTCTTTTCAGAAGTCTCGTTCATTTTCCTGAGGGCCACTGATGTGATAACAGCCACGGATCCAAACCCATGGAGCCTAAAGGAGGCTGTTTTTAATCACTTCAGCGAAGAAACTTTGTTTATTGTCCCCCTCGGTGGCACTGCTACCCCAAAAGTAACTCAACAGGAATTACCGTGAAACTTACGAGACATCGTGGAGGATATAGTAGTATCTTATAACAATGTCGTTTATTCCACAGGACAACTCAGTACTATATGGCGTCAATGTGGTAAAGCCTCCTAGGGAAGTGAGCAACCATGCAGTTCCTATGAAAACTTCTACGTGTTCAGATTTAAGGGCAAAGTCACTGAAGAGCAATTCAGTTCCCATGAGCTATAAATTCCTATCTTTTCAGGGAGTTTCTCTCTTCTTCTACTCCCTTTGAGTAAAACAGTTATTGGGTTCTTTTGATATTTTTTCTGAAGTCAGGATTACTAATATAAGGAGATAGCATCTCACTTTATGAGCTGGAAAAACAAGAACTTACTGAGACGGACCAAAAAGAAATCTACTTTGAGTTCATGCAGTTCTTATAGATGCAACCTTGTCATTAGGCCAGGGACCAACAAACGTTTTCTGAAAAGGGCCAGATAGTAAATATTTTAGGCTCTGCAGGCCATACAGTCTCTGCCACAACCGCTCAACTCTGCTCTTGTAGCATTAAAGCAGCAGCATTAAAGACAATGCATAAATGAATGCACATAACTGTTCTAATAAAGCTTTATTTACAAAAGCAAATGGTTAGCCCATAAGCCAGACAATGCATAAATGAATGTACATACATGTTTTAACAAAGCTTTATTCACAAAAACAAGTGGCTAGCCCACAAGCCAGAGTTTGCCAATGGCTGATCTAGGCTAAATTTTGGATAAAGCCTGATTTTCTAGTAGGAGCTTACAGGAGCTCATATCTGAGACTTGAACTCCCCCCAAAAATCCTCCCTTTGACTGCTTCAACCCAACTGATGGATGCCTAAAATCACCCCTTAAGGGTTTTAACTATTTTTGTTAATATATGTTAATAGGTATACATCTATGAAGGAAAAAAGCACTGTGTAGTCAAATATATTTTGGATGCTGGAT